TACAATTCTGAATTTATTAGTCTTTTGTTTACGGGAATTCCATGTTTCCCCTGGCAGCCATAACATCTTAAATTGTTGGGATTAACCTGGAAATGAAAGCTGTCAGCCTTCCGGGTCAGGCTGTGATGCAAAAACCAAAAGCTTGACACAGTTAAACTAGGTAAGGCATTTATTTACCATTAATTTTTTGGTTGACGATGTGTATGTCTGCTTGAAGAATAATAGTGAAAAGGGTCACAGAATTTCTGCTGTCTACCCGGGGGGATATTGAGCTTAATGTCTGGTATGTTATTAATATTCTTCAAGCAAGATATGGCTTAGGGCTTCCAGGTATGTGTCCCCATTACTCCTCAAAGCCTCTAAAGACTAGAGACAAGTAGCCAACTGGACTCACTGGGGAAAGCTGAAGAGTAGGGTTTCTTCGAGTTGAAATCAGTACTCTGCTTTAGGTTACTTGAATTTCATTGTCTCTATTGGCCCACACCTGCTTCTCACAATATTTATGACACCCGAAGGTTGTCCAACACAATTTTCTTATAAGACATTACGTTGGGTTCTTGTCTTCTGGTTTTCCTTTAGCTCAGTCTTCTGTTTTTCCGAACTTTGTACAAAGGTATGTAAAAATTTTTGCATGGAAGATTCTTATGTAGGCTTCCATGACATGCTATGACTTTGAGGAATCATGCCTCTATTTATAGTTTTAACATTATGCAGTTATTTGAAAATATTAACAAGTAATTTGGTAATACTGCATAGCAATTAGGAATTACAAAAGGGTATTAACAGATTTTTATACAAGACAAGTAAAATTAATATGATGTGGTAAACAATCCATGTGGGTTAGATGTTTGGAAAGTATGATAGGTTAGATGCACTGTAGAATTTCATTAGCCAATCTAGCCGTCTGACGCTGTAAGACCCAACATAACCCGAACAGTCTATATACTACAGAAGACGTTGTGGGGTAACTAGCATCTCATTGAAGGAATCTGCGGTGATATTAGCTTCATTTGGCAGTGTACTGTGAGAATTTCTTTTCCAGGTTTATTTTTAGTTGCTTAGGTAAAAGTTGTTCTTGTGAATTTTCTTTTTGAGAATGGTTATTTTGTGAACTCACCCTCTAAATCTAAAGAAATTCTAAGCAGAAGATAGTGAAATTTATATCTAAAATATAATTGAATTCATATTAAATTGTACGCATAATTGGATCGATTTTTCTTGAACTCTGTGAAATTTGATCAAATTTGGAATTAATTGTTTCAATTTTATATGAAGTTCAAAACAGGGTTATTTTTTAATTTTAAATATTTTTTTTTTATATTGAAAGATTATGAATTAGAAGTAATTAGTCAATTGAAGTTATTTAATTTAAAGGAATTAGATTTTAATTTTTTTTTAAATTATCACTGTGTAAAAGAATTAAAAATGAAAAAATAAATGACCCGAAATAGATCCAACAAGTTATCAATCCTGAGTCTCCAATGGAAATTAAAACTCTCTGACGGGTCCCAACAACTGGGTTCATTTATGTTCTGAAGAAATCCACTCCATTACAAAATATTTTAGAATCTCCTTGTCTATTCCAAACTTCAACAATCATTTACATAAATAGGCTAAAATAACCTATGACTTCCTATTTTATTTGTTTTTTTTTAAAAAAAAAAAAAAAGAAAAAAAGTTTTTATACTAATTTTTTTTTATTTATATATTTTTTTAATTTTTACCGATTCAACCTTCACTACCAATGATTGCTCGAATCTATTAACAGTTACGCACATAACCAAATCATGATATCTCAACAATAATGTTGTGCATGACGTGAGAGGGTTGAGGTTAGTATTGAAAGTTGAATCGAGAAAAAAAGAAACTAAGACTACATGACTAAAATAATGGTGGAAGATCAAACCATAATCCGAACCGCCCTCTTACCCCACTATGCCAAGCCCGACTAACATCCGATCGGTATTTAAAAAAAAAAAAAAATCGTATGGAATCGAATTTAAACATATCAGAATTATATGATAGTAATTATTGATGGTATAGTAATTGTGACAATTATGACAATAATGATAATAATATAGACATTTGACAGTTATAATAATAATAAATATAACGGTGAAAAATAATTATGAAATTGTTATAATTTTGTTAATAAATAAAAGTGGGAGATAAAAAAATGCAACTTAAACAATCAAGAATGCTAGTCATTACTCAAATGGGCATTATTGGTTAACCTCTAATAAATAACACAATGTAAATAGTAGTTTCCCACATGCAAAAAAATGTGTAATTTCATGTATTAAATTTGGAGCTACATATTTTGTACAATTATAATACTACGTCCGGATGCTCTCTTTCTTTGAAAGCCGAAAGTGCTTATACAATTTGCTATATAATTTATACATAATAGATTGCATCTCAACAGAGTCAAACTCCAATTGTCACAACACAAAATGCCAGATAACGCCTTCTGCATTAATATATATAACTTCTCTATGTATAAAAATAGTGCATTAGTCATATGTTAGAAAATAAAAAATAAAAAATAAAAAATATTAGCATCAGGGTCCCTGCCGTTAATAAGATTTGTGAAGCTTCGCTGGTACGCACGTACTGCCGCCGACCTCCCATAAACAACATGAAATCGTGCCCAGCCAAACAGCAAATGCAAACAGTGATGATGACGCCACGAATCTCCCCTCCAAGATCACAACTCATTACGCCACTTCATCAGATATCTAAAACCCACTTTCCTATATATATATATATGTATATATATATTTTTCTTTGTTTTTAAAATCCACCCACCATTCCTCTGTTTGTCATACGAGGGATAGCCCCATTCATATTCAATGTATATAATATATTGGACCTACAAACTTTTTATCAATTAATTATTTTATGTACATTTAACTAATTGGGTAAGGTGGGAGGTTTCTAACTTTTTGCTTTTAGAAAAGCATATGCATATATTACAACCATACAAAAACAAATAGATATAAAAGATAGTTTTATACACCAACTACAATAGCAATTATTACGCCCCTTTTCCTTTCCATCTCACCCAAAAACCAAAAGGGCCTTTTTTTTTTTTTTTAATTTCAACACTTTACTTGCAATCATTTGCAAGTCATTAAAATATTAAACCAAACGTGATTAATCCTTCACTGGCTATATAATAATTGTATTTGTTGCCTTGGCAGAGTAAAGTAACACTTGAAAAGGTTAAAAGAAGAGTGAGAGTTGAAGAAACGTGATATAAATAAAAAAATTTTATTAGCAACTGTTTCGAAGAGATGTCTACACACACCTCCTCCTTTCTTTCTGTTCTGGGAACCTGCATATATCTTCTTTCTATTTTTCCTTTCTTCTTCTTCAACTAGCAACCTATAATTACATCCCCCTCTTCTAAATAAACCACAACTCTGTCTTCTTGCTGCTTTCTTCTGTGATAATGTGATTACATTAATTAAAATTTGGAAAGAAAAAAAGAAACCTTACACTTAAACCTGTAACATATTATAGCTTTACTGTATCCTCTTTTCTCTGTGTCTTTCACCATCATCATAAATGGAGAAGACCTATCTATTTTGTTTGTCCCCCTCGGTATCAACTAAGTTGCTGACTGATCAAAGTAAAAAGAAAAGCGAAGAAAAAGAGTTCTGTAGTATCAAACTCATGATTGTAATTGTAATCCTCTTTCCAATTCAGTCCCTCTACCTCTCTATGTTTCATCTGTATCTGAATCTCTATATAACTGTCGAAATGCCACTCACAATCGGAGATGCAAATGGGCTCTCTGGAAGATTGAGACCTTGGCTGCTGGGAAACAAATAAAAAAAAAAAACTCAAGAAAATGATGCAGTAGTAGATGTCTGCTGACTGCTTGCTACACTAACGGCAACTTGAATTATGATTCTTTTTGGTTCTTGAGAAAAAACGCAGCAACTTTTTGTTTTAATCTCTTGCTTAAGAAGCATCGAAATCATACCTTTCCTGGTCTATGTAACGAGTGCTTACACGCCTGACTCTGTCCTCACTTGTCGAACCCGTGTTCAGAACATCCAACAAATAATTGAAACGCTCTGCGGAAGGGAACTCATTTTGTTCCGCACAGGCTAAATTCAATCATACAACATAAGTATATTAGTCAAAAAGAAGACAAGACAAAAAAGTGAACTCAAAGTGGAATGTTCAAATGTTCAACTCATTAATCATACCATCTGGAACCTTCAACTCATCCATTGAGTAACCAAAATAGGAATGAGGAGGAGGCATAGGTTTTGGCGTGAATTGCAACTCCGAGAAACGCCTCCTCTCAAGTTCAAGTGCTTGCTCGTGCTCCTCAGTAAACTGCTTCCTCAGTAATCTTGTGTTGTCATTAGCTCTTGGCACTGTACAGTGGTAGTTGAAAGGTGAAAACAATTAACAATCACAATCACTGAAAATCCAATGTGTTTTAAAATCTGAAAACTCTGCGTACTTGAGTTCAGCTCAGAATCTCCATCTAAAAATTGTGCACCATAGTGCATAAGGTGCTGCAGTTTCTCCGGGTACTTCCTGCCCAAGTAGCATCGAAATTTTCAAAACAGATAGAAAAAATCATATCAAGAAGGAGGTTGTTCCTAAAACACGTAAGAGTAAAACTTCTGAAGCAGTTAAGGTTATTCAAAAGACGAGAAGAATCACTCAAGTTTCAAACTGGGGAAAATGACACAGGTATGCTTTCCTTCTCATGTGCCATCAAACGGGAGAAAAATAATGAGAAATAGAACCAAAGCTGCATACTTTTCTGGTTTTGCGAGAAGAATTGGAGTATTCAAATAGCAATCACAAGGTGTTGACCAAAAAATGCATGCCAGTTGCAATCAGTATACAACAAAATAATCATTGGCAAATTAAGAAATCTAAAAAAGACCAAGGCCGTGTATAAAGATAAACTCCAATTAGAAACAGATAACCCCGAATGAAACTCATAGCAGAAGTGAAACCAGCTGTCGCAAGGACTTGCTTTTACGTGGTCAAGGAACTAGATGCAGAAATCAAGGTTGAAAAAATGACACGATAACGGTTGAAAGATTAGAAGCGTTTTAACAGGAAACGTACTCGTTGACTCAACTGCAAACTTAGCAAGGCATAAGGGCAATTAAGACCATTGCCGAATATTTGACCTTCAAAGAGAAGACAGAAAATCTTTTTACCTGTCCATAGACCTTGACTTCTCTCTATAAGGTTTAACCAGAACACGGGCCCCGCAAACAAAATGAGGATTTCCCTTGGATAAAATCTGCTTCACAGTCTCCACAAAAACAAAAGTGACAAAACCAAACATCCTCTTCTGTTGACATGGAATCCTAACATCTTGAACAGGCCCAAATTTGCTACAAAACAAAAGTGCCAAAAACAATAGAAAAAAAAATGAGAACAACCAAATGATTTGATTTCTCGAGAATACAAGAATCTCTGGAGCAACTCGTTAGATTTCATTACCTGAAGTAATTGGACACATCTTGTTCAGTGAAAGTACTCTCAGCTGGGAATGTAAGATATATCTGCCGGGAACCAGCAACAATTCCACCCGGTTCACTTCTGTCTGCAGCATACTCCAAGTACTTAGGAACATCTTCAGCCAAAATCACTGAGTGCTGTCCATGAGGCCTGTAACTCAATTAACAAACATTAAGAATTAGTTAAATTATAAAAACATGAGATGCAATACAACATAAAAAGGGAAAAATCACGATTTTCACCTGTCAATGAGGCGGATGCTGTTCTTCAATCGAGCAAGAAGCTTGGTAAGGCTATAACCAGCCTTACCATGTCTTTGACTCTCTGTAAGGTATCCCTCAGCCTGGAGAGTCCTTCCATACTTCTCATAATACAGCATTGGTAAAGAGGCAATGGAAACAGGAAGCCCTCTTCTTGATTTCAGGAGTTCCGTGATCTCCAACTCTAGCTTTTCTAGAGATCCAGGAGAAATAACATGATCTTCATTCCCAACATCACTAGAATTGGGATTGAAAAGCTGAGAAAAGCTTTCTGACATGGGATGGCCATGGAAATACCTACAATTACTTCCATGCTTACAGAAGCCCTTATTGAAGTAATGGCAAACCTTAACAGGGAACTCCGGCAGGCTAGGAGACCTACGACTGGTTCTTGCACCCATAGGATGTTCGGGAAAGAAGTAGTTAACTGAAAAATCAGGACTAACAGAGTTAACAGGTCCTATCTGGCCTTCCAAATTCAAGAACTGCATCTGATTTTGAAGACGAAAATCATCCTGGACTGATTCCGAATATCCCTGCTGCACATAATCCAAGTTGTTGAGCTGTTGCTGATCTGCAGCCACTTGTTCCCAGTACGCCGTTGCAGCCCTTAGGGAAGCCGGAGATGGAACCGGACGTGGGGAAGCAGCCGAGTACGCTGTGAACTGCATAGGCAGATCAGCAACAGCAACTGGTGCAGGATTCACATGTGAAGGTGAAATTGGGGCTGAAACTACTGCTTTGGACAATCCCAATTCAGATTTGGCTTTGTTGATCAACGAATGGATCAACGTATCGGGACAAAAGGCCAATCGAATCATTTCACGTTCACCATGACCTTGCAGTAGCAGATACCCGATAATCCTAGACACATTCTCAGGCTCTAGCTGCTGGATTCTATTGTATACCACCTTTGTGAAGTCCATCTCAACTTCTCACCCCACCCTGCAAATTGCAACGCCAAAATACATGAACCAAGAACAAATATTATTGGAATCCAGTCAACTGTCCAAATTTATTAAGGAAAAAAGGAAAACAAACACGTGAGGCAGGAGATAACCCACTCATTTTTCTTTTATGGCAAGACAGATAACCATTCTTTTTAAATCTTTTGTAATAATGAATTGCAGATCTAAGGCACAATGGAAACACGATCAGATATCATTTGACTTCACCATAAATGGCAAAGCAATTAATCTAGCAAACGAATATAAACTGCATATGTATCTTGATAGCCAACAAAGAAAGATATCAACCCAATGGGCAGAAAAGGAAAAAAAAGATGACAGCAAAACGGAAATCCCATTATATCCTAGAAACAGCTGGAAATTTTTCCCAAGTTCAAGAACAGCAAATTAGCGGAAAATATATATATGCATTATTCTCTGTATTTAGCACAAGGGGGAATAAATTGGGTATGAAACCACAAGAGCGTGGCTCAAAGATTTACCACCCAAAATTGGAAAAGAAAAAACATATCAGAACAAAAAATAAATAAATAAAAATGTTAATTCTGAAAAAAGCTGAGATGAAAAAATCTGTAAATTTCTATAGATTGTTTTTTGAGGAATTTACTTGTAAAGTAAATGGTGAGTATGATTAGATTGAAGAAAGCATTTCTCTTCCATGGAAAACACAATAGAGCAGACTATGGGCGTGAGGCTAAAACCCGCAAGAACAGGCTCGTGCATTTCATGAAATCTGAAACATTAAACTACCATTACAAAACCCCTTTTTTTGTAAGGGAAAAAGTATGAACACCAAGCCTCCGATCTTCCCTCCCCAAAAAAAAAAAAAAGAGAGAAGAAGAAACGTAAAGTGCTTTATGAATTTTTAAACATCAACAGTGAACTAAGCATTATTAGTTGACACGACTGTCAAATAAAACCATGCTTAAGATTCAGAGAAGTCGGTCAATTGAAAGAACCGTACAAAGAAAACACGGAGATATTCTCGTTAAGAACCAAAAAGAATCCCAATAACAAAAATCATCTCTGGCTCTGAAACCATTTATTTTTAAACAACCATGAAAACCCAGAGACCGTTTCCACGCACAGAATTATCAGAAAATCTGCAAAATAACATAACTCCAAGTTACGTGAGAGTAGAAGAAGAATAAGAAACAGAGTTCCACCCCATCCCCCTGGCCTTACCCTCTAAAATCACAGTATTGCAACATTTCTCAACAAACTCGTGGCAGAAAAGATTGAAGAGAAGGAAAAAGGAATAGGAAAAGAAAAGGGGATTGTAAAGCCATTTACTTTGAACAAACAAAGATCTGAATACCCACCAAAAATCTAACAAGCCCTCAGAAGAAATTGAAGCAAAACGAAGTCCGACAAACTAAGACAAGACCTCAAAACCTTCCATAGTCCTTTTGTTGATTGATAGTTTGTTTGTTCAGTCAGTTTCTTCTTCTTCTTCTTCTTCTTCTTCTTCTTCTTCTTCCTCTTCTCTTTCACCCTTTCTGTAAATTTCCTGTTCTATATTTATCTCCCACCTTTCTATTCTCAATTCTCAAGTCTCCATAAAAACGACACTCTTCTTTAAAAAAAAAGGCAAAAATGACAGAAAGGATAGCTTTTAAGGGCGCCTTGTCTTTAGTTCAAATCAACACAAACTAATATATACACACCCCTTCCTTCTCTAAAAAAAAATAATAATAATAATAATATACTGAATTTTTTATTTTTATATTTTAAAATTTTAAATACTTTATTCTCATTATTATAAGCTCACTATTCTCTACAGCTCTGTCGCTCTTATCTGTGACTGTTTTTTTTTTTAAATTTTCTTAAATTTGTAATGTTTTCTTGTTGGGAAATAATAAGGTTTTAAAAAATTACAGGTTGTATTTTGTCGTTACAGAGAATTGTGGGAATTTATTGAAAATGCGCCTGGAGTTCCGAAACAGCCATAACTGAAATGACGGAAATGCCCACCCTCAACCCCCCAAATCTCCATGCAGTTTTTTAATTTCTATCCCTTAAATAAATGTCTACAAAAACCCACGTGACTTCCCTCTACGAAATCCAAAACGCCCGCCTTTAAATAGAGTAACCGCCCAGTGTATCTCGCTCGTATGGAAAACTTATTTGTTTATCCACGAAATCGGTTAATAAATCTCTGGATAAAATTTCAAATCCTGGACCCACTAATTTTAAAAAGAGTGAGAGAGGGGGGAAGAGAGTAGTTTTCTTTTCGTGCGTTTAGCTGGGTCCCATCTGTTCTAGATGAACGGTGGTGATTTCCCGGTGAACTTTAACCATCTATCTCGCGCATTGCATGCCCTCCACGTGTCAAATCCGCACCTAATTTTACAGTCCGTGTCCTGCAGTTTGTTTAGTACGTGGATTAAAACCCCACAAATCACTACCCCAAACAAGTACCGTAGTGAATCCAGTTCTGGTGGGACCCACCTCATCCTCTCCCTGGCAGTGGGTCCCAGTTCACTTCCCCCGTGATTGGTGCTTTAAAAATAATCACCCTGAGTTAATTTTATTTATTACTAAAAATAAAAAATAAAAATGCCTTTTAACGGATTTTAATCTTTTAAATCGATTACTTTATCACGAGCTCTATACATGAAATAAAAAATAAAAAATAAATTAAATATTTAAATTTTTTAGGCTGTATGGAATTGTAATATTAATATTGCATGTGCTAAAATTTATGGCCCCACAAAATCTTAAACTGAAAAACGGTAGAAAGGTTAATATAGTAATACTGAAATCAGCAGGGGCAATTGTGGTAACAAACATTTTTCACACACCGCGGATCTGCGACCGGTTCACCCGGCAGGAAATTGGGGATCGGATCGCCAGTTACCGTCGGAGACTGACGGAACCGTAAATCACCTGAAGAATTAAACGTTATGGCCGTTACAGATATCCGTTAGAACCGGGCCTTTCCGTTAAGCCCCTATAATTGATAAATCTTTGAATTTTACTGTTTCCATACCTTCTGTTCGTTTGTTTGTTTGTTTTTATTATTATTATTTATTTATTTATTTTCTAAATCTCCGGTGGTTGTTTGCTTATAACTTGTTACGATCATATTTAGACAAGACTGATAAAGATGATTAACAAGAAAGATAAAGAAGTTAATTATTCTAATCCTTTCATTTAATTGATTGTCACATAATTTTTGTTGTCAGCACGTAATGTCTCTTTTAAATTATTTAAATTTTGATTAATTGTTAATGATGAATATTCAATTTAATCATATTATTGAAGCTTGTATCGTTACACACATTCCTAAGTTGGCAGAATTTTAGGGTCAGAGCTGAGTGTTTATTCAAATGGGTTTATCTTAAAACAAAATCTGGAGACAAAATCATTAGATTAATGAAAGTGCTTTGCTTTTTTTTTTTTTTAATAAAATATATATATATATATATATATATACACAATCAAAATAAAGTTACTATTTTATATTTTATTTTCGATTTTATGTATTGATTTTGAATGCTATGAATTTAAGTTTATGTGGGAGCATGTATTATAAGAAATAAAAATACGATATTCAAACCCATATGACTAAAAGGTGTAACCCATTAAGGCAATTAAGTTTTTATATTATTTAAAAGGCAAAAATAAATTCAAATAATATTCTTCCTCAACACGACGCAATTATCATTCGGTTGACTTTGTATTGTATGTTTTCTATTTTAACTATTTCAATTAGTTTTGATTGCTATTCCATTATTTTATTTGATTGGTATAGTTGTATGATATATACATATATATATATAATCATATTTTATTTTAATCAATTTCTTTGAATTTTTGTCGCGTATATTAATTTCAGATACAAGTAAATTTTATTATAAAGTTTATATACAATTAAAATTGATTCAACGAACATGTAAACTTCAAATAACCATTATAAAAATATTGACTTTCTAGCAGTAGAGTATCTTAATTAATTTATGTATTTATTAATTCTTTAATTAATTTATTTCCTAAATTTTTCAACTTTAATATATTGGAATGATATTAGTATAATCTTATTTAGCCGATATAATTAATCATTTTTAAGGAAGAAAAAAAAAACGTTGTGTACAGAATTCGAAAGTAATTAATTATAGATATATTTATATTTATATATAAGTTGGTTAACGTAAATATATATATATATATATACATAATGTAGGTAACGCATATAACATAAATTAATTATTAAAATGGAGGCCTCGGTTGTAGGGTTGGTCTGCTGCACTTCCAGACTTGTTTTTTCCGTGCTCCAAACGTTGCTTAATTTACCAAATGCCGAACTCCATCCATGGATGGGATGGTGGGAAGTGGAAACCACAAGGTAATTAGCTAAATATTTTAATATTTATTTATTTATTTATTAAATAAACAGTTTTGTGCTATTTTCGTATCAATTATATGTTTTCGTGTGGAACGAATTATTGTCTTCTATAAAATATTTTCTTTACAAAAATAAATATTGTAAAATTGATTGTATAATTCAAATTTAGAGTTTATTTGATTCAATCTAAATAATTCAGAGTTAAATTAAAAAGGTATATCTTAAATTCTATTATACTTAAATAAGATTTAAAAATATTATATAATGATTTAATTCGAATTAAAAATGATTGTAAGATAACTTTATCGTTTTAAAAATTAATTGGATTTTTTATTCTTTAAGTGAATCAAGTATTAATATTTTAAGATAATTTAAAACAAACATTATATGCTAAGTAAATCTTAAGCTATTATTATCCCTTAAGTTGGAAATATAATATGTATATTCTCGCAAAAAAAAAAAACATGCTTTTTGGGGCTAATTCAAATTGTATGTAAAATAGCAATATATATATATATATATATATATATCACATGTATGGCCCATAAAAGTTCACTAATAAAGTGCCTTGCCTGTATATATATATAAATATATATATATATGTATTTGTATATACACATAAGGTATTATTGTTAAAGTAGTATTTTTTTGTCAAGAGATATCAATTTTAGTAATAATTGTTGGCATGAGACTAAACTATGTGGTAAATATTATTTTGAAAATCTATAATCTTATAAAAATAACATAAATATTATTTTACATAAATAAAAATCATACCGATCTCATCAAATTGGAAATAATTCAATTAATTTTTAATTAACATTTTATTTAAAATATAAAAGTACAAAAATTATTGGATAGATGTATGTAATAAAATCAATAGTGTTTGGAATGTGAAATTTTTTGTCTTTATTTTATTTAATTTATTAATAAGTGAATTTTTCGATTCTCATTTTGTGCATTAAAAATCAAGAACCATTAAACAATTTTAAGTGTATAATGTAAAGATCCAAAATTTAATTGGATAATAATATTGAAATTTATAAAATACTAGCGGAAGTAATTAAAAATTTAGGATTTATATTTCTTGTAAAATTTAATCTAAATGACCAATAGAACTATGACAATATCAATTGAAGAAAATTAAAATAACAAAAAAAAAATGTAACTAGAAACTTATGTGGTCGATCTCCACTGTGCAACTGGTAGAAAATAGGAGACAACTTTTAATTGCTAACTTTCTTGCTGCTCAGAATCCGAATCTTGGTCGTTCTGATCTGAAATAGTTAATGAATGGGGATGAGCTACACTAACTCAGTAAGAATATAAATGTTTTGCTACCGATACGGAAAATCAAAGGTTAATAAAAATTGCAAAACAATTAATAGAGCTATTTTTCTTTTTAGGTAAATTCATTTGACTTGAAAAACGTTAATTTTATACTCACATTTAACTTCTCCAATACTACTTATGAAGAAAAGGATCAAGATAGCAATACATTTTACACTCTAAGGAAAGGATCAAGATAACAATACATTATATGCTATAAGAGACCATCAATAATTAAACTTTACTTTTTTACTTGTTCACTGGTGCCGCTGGGGGTCTATAAGGGTTCCCACTTATAGTAACTGGATGTAAAAAAAAAATTGTATGTATGTATATATGTATATAGTGATAATTATAAACAGGAAAGGGTATAGTTGGGGAGAGGAGGAGGAAATGGTGCCGTTTGGAGAAGAAGAGGAAAAAAGCATCCTTTGGAGAAGAGGAGGAGGAAACAACGTCGTTTGGAGGAAACAGTGTCGTTTGGTGAAGAGGAGGAGGAAACGGCGTCATTTGGAGAAGAAGAGGAGGAAACGACGTCGTTTGGAGAAGAGGGAGTGGACGGTTGGGATGAGGTGAGATGGACGGGCAGGATGAGAGGCAGGTGGGGTATAAATAGGAGAAGGGAAAAAAAAGGAAAAGTAAGAGGAAAGAAAA